ACAGGTTGTGTTGCCTTCTGGCGTGCTCGTTTGTGTTTTTTTTAATTTTAACACAATCCCCCTATTGTTTTTTTATTGCTCAGGAAACATCAAGGAGACTTGGGGAGAGGATATTCATGAGTAGGTGGGGAGTTGAGAGTTAGGGTAGATATATATATAGAGAGAGAGATCCATATATGCCTTAGCTGTGCCACATGTCTGAAATCTAACGCTTGCAGGAAACCATCCAGACCATTTCGTCTTAAACATGCTGGCCATGCTTGTACCTCTAGAAATGACCTCTTGTCCAAATTCAAGTTTATTGTATTGGCTAAAAACCATCACAATTGTTTAAAATACAAATATGATCAAATAAAATGATGTTAAAATCACAGACATGTAAAATAATAAGAGACCTATCCACAGGAGGAAAGATTTAAAGAAAAGGGGGAGAGAGAAAATCAGGGGGACATGTGTGGGTACCCTTTCATATCTGGGCGTCCCCTGCACGATTGATCACGATGGTTCTCCGGAAATTAGCGTGGATGTTTCTGGCCGCCTTTGCAAACAGCGCCGTTCTGTATGTAACATATGGGTCAGAGTCCAGAAGTAGCCTGCCCACCTTTATCTGAGGGCTTTCCTCCTGTAGGGCAGCCAAAACGTTACCCAGGAATTTGTCTCTAGGGTCTTGATAGAGCTGACAGTGGAGTAAATAGTGGACAACACCCTCCAATCTCGCCTGCTCCGCAAATACATAGCCTTAGATGCTTAGGGGACCTTCACGTACCTGCCGTCTAAGACTGCCGTTGACATGGTTTGAAAACGAAGTTCTGTGAACACGGTTCTCAACACTTTTAACCCCATAAAAATCAAAAATGTCTTTGGAATTTAGATTTTAGTAAGGTTTGGATTGAAGTTGCCCAGCCGCTACTCTTCCATTGCTCTACTGTACAGCATTTAGGTAGACGGTGATCGGATCTATCCATCACCCTCTTATAGTCTGAGAATATAGCTAGAGTGGCTTTAATGGACTCCATGCCTGTCTCTATGTTCTAAGAAAGGCTGCCGGGGACCCCCGAGGTGCCGCGAGGATGTGTCTCAGAAACCTCTCTTCTTGTCCTCTTACGTTCGCCATAGTGGTCTTTCCCATCCTTTTACCTAGCTGGATATTCTTTTTCCTCCCTCATCACCCTTAATGGTTCGAGCGGTACGACAACGGAACCGGTGGCCTCGGGAGGTGGTGAGCGCTATACTAGCCATCAGACCTCCTCACCCCCCTACATATTCCTTGAAGGAAGAGTTTGGAGGCGTGGAAAGGGAAGCCATGGGCACCCCATGGGCATAAGTGCTTTCTCGACTTCTGCGTCTCTGGCCTGCATGCTACTGCCATGTGGCTTTCTAGGGAAATGATGATGGGAGGCCTGGCTGCCGCTTCCTGTGACATGGTTTGAAAAGCCTGCCACCTGCAGGAATAAAGAGGGCACTGCAGGTGACATGAGGATTTGCACTGACTACAATGAACTTGCCTAGTTTCTGGGCAAACCGATGTCTACACCCCTTTAGTCCACATGCCAAGATTCAGGGATCAGCTTTGTAAATATGTCGATGGAAGCAGATACATACGCTCCATCAGTCTGTCTTTCCTTTTAAAAAATAGTTTTTCATTTTGATGGGTGCTTGTACTTAAGAGTGACAAGGAAGATCCGAGCCGTTTTTCCCCTCTTCAATTTTTAATTTTTTCCAAGCCTTCTTCCCCGCTCTTAAAAAAAAAAAACAGCCATCAAGGCAAACCGATGTCTACACCCCTTTAGTCCACATGCCAAGATTCAGGGATCAGCTTTGTAAATATGTCGATGGAGGCAGATACATACGCTCCATCAGTCTGTCTTTCCTTTTAAAAAATAGTTTTTCATTTTGATGGGTGCTTGTACTTAAGAGTGACAAGGAAGATCCGAGAGTCAGCCGTTGTTCCCCTCTTCAATTTTTAATTTTTTCCAAGCCTTCTTCCACG